TGTGAAGTCAGATTGTAGGTGTTTAGCAAAGTTGCTATTCTTAATTTGGCTCTTTTATGCAATGTGTAAAGTTTTTATGACTCAGTTACATGAAGAATATAGTTAGAACTACAGTGGTGCCTCGCTTAACGAGCACACCGTTTAACGACGAATCCGCATAGCGATCTATTTTTTTAGATCGCTAATGCGATTGCATTGCGATGTTCTGAATAGGCAAAACATCACATTACGATGATTGGTAAGCGTTTCGCTTACCGATCTTCGCATTGCAATGTTTTTTTAAACCGCTGATTGGTGGTTCCAAAATGGCCACTGTGCACCCAAAATGACCACCGCAACCATTTTTGCGCCCTGCCCTCGCTTACCGAGGGCACGAAAATGGCGGTGCTATGGAGGAACTTCGCTGAACGGTGAGTTTGGGAGCCATAGGAACGCATTAAACGAAATTTAATGCGTTCTTATGGCTTTTTCCGTTCCATTAGCAATGTTTCTGCATAGCGACGATTAATCCGGAACAGATTAATGTCGCTATGCGGGGCACCACTGTACATATACATTGTAATAATGTTAATTTGTGTTCCTTAAATATATTGATAAAGTGTTTCTACTCTGTTTTAATTGTGTAGCAATGTGTAGCCTGCATAATTAATTTGCAAACTGCCCAGAAATTTCTTTTAAGACCAGTTTCAAAATATCAGTTGGCAACCCTGTAATAAGACATAGCAGTTTCCTATGTGAAGGAAGGGGTGTGCATCCAGTGGAGTACTTCTGATAAAAGAAGGTACTGTACTTATATCTAGAGTGTCGCCATCTCTTTTATAGTTCCAAAGGCTCTCTACTAAAACTTCAGTGTAGATATTTTGAATGAGAACTCCTTACTTCTGTTTTGCAAGAATTGAGACAGTGTCTTTGTTCCACAATCAGAACTTTGTTTATGAATTTCTGAAGCTAACCCAATGGAATCCACAAAACAGATCTCATATTAAAAATGAGAACCAGTTTTCTTCACTGAAAAATAGACGTTTCTTAATTCTGTTTCCTGATATGATTGAGAAACATAATATTATTAACTCTATTGAAGAAATACTGGAATGTGTGGGTGGATTATGGGTAGAATAGTCTTGGTTACTGCAGTTCTCAGGACTGATTATGTTATTGAATACATTCATTTCCCCTACTGAAAAGTTGCTAAAAGTTAGGAACATACCAGATAGCATCAGATGCCAATTTTTAACAAAAGTATTTTTGATTTATTTATTTATTTATTTATTTATTTTATTTATATCCCGCCTATCTGGTCGGTTAAGACCACTCTAGGCGGCTAACAGCATAAAATAGTATAAAAAATTTTAAATAGAAGAAACCTTAGGAGAGGGAGGAAACAA